AAGATTGTTTTAGGTTTAAATATTTTTTTTTATTATCACATATAGCCGGAAAGAGTAACTAACACAAGTTTAATTTCTTTTATAGTCACCATAGAAATGTCCTCACTACGATTTAATTCCAGCAAACGTTTGTCTTCAAATGAATATGATTTATGTATTGAATCAGAAGAGTAGTCTGAAACGACAATAGGTACAAGTAGCTCACTCATAATATTACAATCAGCTGTAAATGGTTTCTTTTTCCATGAAAATTTCTCTTCTTTTGTAAATTTATTGCTTTTGTTCATCTTTGGCATCCTAAAAAGAAAACAAAATGACTTTAGAATAGGAGAAACATAATTTTAGACCATGACAAAAACGTTTTCCATATAATTTCAAGCCTGTCTTTTTATGCAATAAATGTTGATAAATAAATTTAAAAGTGTAGAAAAAATAATTGCATGTAAGTACAATTTCCAAACTAAGTACTTTATTTCTAGTGAACAAAAATCAATGGAAGATAACTAACTGTATTACCAGACCTACATAACTTAGAAAATCTTGACTAAATTTGTTATAACCTAGCAAGCATGACCTTAACTTTGTAAATTATAAGACAGTTACCAAGTTTCATTATCAAAGAAAAAATGGCCATTTTCATATTTGAACTTTGGGTGTTCAATTTGCACATGTATTGTATAAGTCGAAAGCCTATTACAAAAATGCTTATGAAATATCCATTGGGTGTATCAATTTTGCAACAATTATATTCAATAGACAAAATTTATGCGAACATGTGTCTGAAAATGGAGATATCTCAATAAGGGGAGGGAGGGGTCTTGTATTACGATTTAATATTTTCCACTAATTTTTAACTTGTGAGGATTAATTAATTACTCGTCAATATATTTAATGTGCTTTCAAAGGAAAGAAAATGCACAAATAGCATAAATGTGGTACCACAGATGTTTATATATATAACAATGGTCATGTAAAACGGACAATTTATGATGTTACACATGATAACATTTATGCATACATTTTATTTTGCATACATTTCTATGCTATGATGTCATGTCGGCAACTGAAAAAAAAAACACAAATCTGGTTGAAAAAAAAAGTTATTTCTATACAGTTTTAAAGTTTTAATTCTGAAAATTTTATTTACAAATCGCCTCACAAATATTCTGGGGGTAAGGGCAGATTTCCAAGTTTTACGAAACGGATTGGTTGTCCCAGCATCGATGGCTTTTTGTATGAATAAAAAAAATAATGTCCCCTTTGTTGATATTTTTAGAAATAACTATTGGATCAAATTTTACAAAACTGGTCTAATTTTCACGACATATCATTTGGGAATAATAAAGCCCTATAAAATTGTATATTTATTCGCATATTTCCAAGTTTTTCGAAACAGGAGATGAAGTAGAATGGGCCTAGTTTTAAGTTTGTCTTCGTATTTTTATTCTCGTCATTTCAACACATTATATTATTTACGATTTATTAGAATTGATTTTTTTATCTTTTGAATGTACTTACATGATTACGCCCTGAAAATTATCGGCAATTAAATTAAGAAAATCGTTAGGCGTATAATTTTCTTCACAACAATGATGGATTTTTCTTTACAACCTCATATTATTTACATCATTCCAATCGGTAATAATCGGTTTCCGATGGCCGAGACATTCATTGGCCGTTACTTAGATTTTAATAGAGTTGCAAATCTCTTGTATTAAATGTCTCTGGTTACATATTTGTTTTCTCGTTAGAATTGATTCTAATTTTCATGTCAGTTCAAAGACGTAGTTTGTAGCACTTCTGGGATGAATTCCCAATTGTTTTATTATGTAAATATTATATAATTGTTGAATGTGATGTTTCTCAGTTTTGATAACTGTATTGTTTGACTTTTTCTTAACTTACGAGTAATCCCCCTTTTTTGACAATAAGTTCACAAATATGTAAGGATTGGTATTTTGCAATCAAATCAATAAAACCAGCAAATGTTGCAAAGCCGTACAATTATCGAGAACATTTGCAATCGATTTAGTGTGTGTTATAATTATGTAGGTATTAACGAACCGTTCCCGGAAATCATAATTTCCGTACTGTCGGAGCAGGGGATAAAAAAATGAAAAAAAGAAATCAATAAAATCAATATGTTGGTCAAAACAAAAAAATCCGAATCAGTTGTATAATATGGTACTTACCATACTAAAAATAATTAGATATTTGAATCTTTAAAAAGAAGACAATTGAATGAGCCCCGTTTATATATTTTAAATTTATTTAATAAATTTTATTTTTGAAATTTGAGAAATGTGTACACGGTGCCGTCAATTTAACAATTCTGGTGGTGTCAGGTTAACAATCATACCATGCATCATTATGCAATATCAAGCGATACTCGACTTACATATGTATCATAGATATAGATATTTCATGGTTGCCAATTGTTATGAATTTCTATTTTGTAGCCTTTTGTTTTCTCGTTTTGGTCATCTGCGCATTAGATTTGATGAACGGATATCATGTCCATAAAAGTTGTCGCTGCAATTTTGGTTACCTTGGTAAAATTGATTAGTAGGTAATTGCATCAGTAAAAGCTTTTCTAGGAAGCTTGAAATTGGATATGTAACAGCCTTACTTGAATAAAACGTAACGACGTCAAACATTTGATTTCAATAAGCAGACATCCTTTTCAATGTATAACTGTTGCATCGCCATGGGTTACATTGCAATGAGGGCAATTGCATAAGTTATATCTTTTCAAAAAAGCTTATAATTGGAAAAGTAATAGTCTTTTTTCACTTACTATGTGCTAACCTTTAAAGAAAATTATTTTTTGGCATTATGGTTGCCTTTTTTCTTTAGAATTGTTAATTGCACATCAATTGCTGTGGTATTGCAACACCCGGAAAAGAAAACGGCTGACACATTTTTTTTTCAAGGCATCGACATGACAAACTGAAACACTTCAAACGATAAAAACAACGTCTTGATTTATGACAAAACAATAAAAGAAAAACACATACGACAGCCAGCAACAACTGAAACACCGATAGATTTCAACCAAATCACCATATGAATCTATGGTCCAAAGAGACAACTGAGCCTTTATCAAGGGAATGCCGATACCAAACAAGTTCTGTTGTTCTTTTTTTAATTCTATCAAAATATTTTTTTGTAAAATATCAATCACATAGAATGACTGTTTGTTGGATTCAAATGGATACATAGACGGCTATAGGATTTCAAAAAGGTGATCCTAGAGTGACCCATCGAAAAAATAAGTGGACGGAGCAGTACAAAAATGTATAATTATGTTATTCGACTGGAGGTACTAAGAGTTTTTTCTTGAAAATATTATTCATTTATTTGCTAGTTGAAATGTCATGTCGTATATTTTAAAAATCCAAATCCCCGCCAAGATTATCAAATGGTCGTCCTCTTCTAAAAGACAGAAGAAACGAAAGCAATGAGTATAATTATTAGGTAAATTTTAAAGTATGGTACTTTATTCAACAGTTATAATATTTAACAGATGAGAAACACAAGGTATAAATATAGCATAGGCAGTAAATCATCTAATTTATCAGATGACTTTTTGTCCGTTGTCATCGACTTATGTGTTTCCGCCTCTCTTTTATTAAAATAACTTTCTAGAATGTTGATGTCATTTTAATTCGTTCATACGGCAAAATCAAAAGAATTTTGGTGTATCGTCTAGAATGAACTTAATCATAGACAGAAGGTTTTCCTGCTATTAAACAAGGATTCAAACACCTCCACAGATCATTTGTTCATACATTTGGTTCAAGCAAACAGAAGGTCGTGGTTAAACAATGTTTTAATTTGAAACAATAGAAACATGAGAAAGTTGTGATTTCAAATTTAAGGCAAAAGAAAATCGTGATTTTAAATTTCAGCTATTAGAGTCATGATTTCAGATTTTAGCCAACAGAATCTTGTGATTAAAACTTCATGTAAGTTATAATTCATACATGTCAACTTTAATCAGATAACAATCTTGACACTTTCGTTGTTTAGAATATACTTACCCCTCTCGTCCAATAGAAAATCAGTTTTTCTCTTCTGATTTCATAGTACATGTCTTTCCATGAACTATACAATGATAGACAAGAAGAAGAAGATGTGGTATGATTGCCAATAAGACAGCTCTCCACAAGAGAACAGATGACACAGAAATTCACAACTATAGGTCAATGTACGGCCTTCAACAATGAGCAGAGCTTATACTGCATAGTCAGCTATAAAAGGCACCGAAATGACAAATGTGAAACTATTTAAACGAGAAAATTAACGGCCTAATTTATGTACAAAATAATGAACAAAAAACCAAATTTGTTACACAGCAAATGACAGCAAGCACTGCATTACATGCTCCTGACTTGGGACAGGCACTTATAGATTGTAGTGGTTTAAACTAGTTTGTTGGCGCCAAACCCTCCCCTAATCTGAGACAGTGGTGTAACAGTACGACATAAGACCAAACTATAAAAATCAGTTTAAAAAGGCTTAATTCATCAGATGGAAACACATAGAAATACATCTAACAAAACCACAGAATGGACGTGGACGGGTACTTATACATCCACACAACAGAAAGACACTGGGAACTGATCTGAGAGTACTCGCAGATACTAACAGCTAGTACATGAATGATTTTTCACTGTAGATTAATAATAAAAGTTAAACTCTTATTGACTACACTTATGAAGTGTACAATCACCTGAAGCAATTTCCATCGGAAAACAGCCTACTGATTAAAGATGAAAGCGAATTATAAAAAAAACATTTTGAAAATTGCAAACGTTTATAAAAGTACATATAAGTAACACAACAAACAACACGAAATAGGGACAAAGGTTGAAGTAAAATAATCTATAATCTAATTTTCATACTAGACCTTAGAATCTATTTTTTTAAAGAAAACAATGACTTCTGATATACAAAGGAAAGGAACTTTAAAAAAAAAAATACATGTACATTCACCAATAAACAGTAAGCATCTGATGTTGAATTATCGTTATAATCATATTTATTGAGGGAGTTTTAAAATTATCAAAAAATAAACAAACTTGAAAAAGATGATTTATGTAACATTGTTTACATTTTATAATCAAGAAATTTAAGATATACAAGTATTAAATTTTTCCTGAGGCGGAAAAAAACTAAATTTTTGAACAGTTTATCTTATTTGTCCTCACAAAACTATCTCAGCGCTATTTCATTGAAATGACCATAACATATGATTTACATTCTCTCTATTAACCAATTCTTATTAAGGTTTGAATATTAGAATGGGAAAAAAGTAAAATAACATAAATACAGAACTCCGAGGAAAATTAAAGAAAGATAGTTTTGTAATGTATTCCAAGGTGTGAATATGTTCTTAATTGGTCAGAAAATACTTGGTCATGTTTTATGAACATTTTTAATCATCGACTACACCTTAGGTGTTATATATTCAGAAAAAAACCAAGTATTGTCTAACCTATACGTAGAAACAATTTTGCCTTTGAAATTGTGACTACAATTACATTTTGATAGAAACAACTGATTTTTAAATTTTTTTTAACACAAGCCATTACAAAATTTCATTTGTTTCAAACTACACGGTTCTGATTTTATTTCTGAACATAATTGATTTCCGAATGGATTTGTTTCCAAGCAATATTATCAGAGTGTCTGCAAATGGCATTACTGACTTGATGTATATACATGAAATTCGTCTAAAAATGGAAGGTACGTCGATATTAAAAAATACAAGAAATAGTACACAAGAAGAAATATTTAGAATAGTCATTGTAAATAAATTCAATGCATTTTTCCACAATCTGGTGTACATATGATGGTCGGCTAATTTTAAATGTTTTGAAATTTTCATTTTTGTAATTGTGAAAGAAAACATTCCAACTTGAAATACAGCATTAATCATAGTAATTACACCATACAATGCCGCAGCCGTGTTCATATCATGACGATCTAGAAAACAAGCTAAATACGTTGGAGAAAACGAAATGTCATCCGCTGTTACACATGTGATTATTAGGAATATTATTATGAAAATAAAACATAAGATTAAATACATTATTGTCTTCTCTAAAGAGAAAATACGCTCATACTTGAAAGGGAAGACAATATATGTGAACTTTTCAATCGCTGCTAACGTTAACAGGATATGCGGAAGGAACATAGTACCTAGTACGAAAAATAAATATAATTTACATGTCGTTCGATTCAGCCATATTTTCCCGCTTAACATCATACCAGTAGATGTTATGGTAAACTGCGCATAAAATAATGTTTCTATAATCAACAATACACACAGCAGAATGTTGGCTTGATTTTGTAGTTTAGGTTTGCCCCATACTGATCGAACAATTGAAAAGTTCATTGAACTTATGAATGAAAGGATATAAGCAAAAAAAGCTGCTTGAATAAAAACAAGCCATTTGTATTTATCGAATGATTCAAGATTGTAGAAATCAGCCTTCTGTACTGCTACACTAATGTTTTCCATGTCTAGTTCCGTGGTTCCATGCAAATCCGTTCAAATATCTGAAACAAATAGACAAAGACTAAAGAAAACGAGAAAATGTCAATAGCTGTCGTATATTCAATCTAATGAATAATGTCTTAAAAAATAGTAATATTTTTTCTGTGCTTGAATCAAGCTTTTATTGCTTAAGGATTATCTTAGTTCTTAACATTTCATTCTTCTTAATTTTTCCGGTATTTATCAAAAAATGAAAATAAGAAAATAAACAATTTGATACTGCCTCATTTTTATAGGAAAAATTACTAGTTTCCCATAGCACGAATGATTACTGACCATCTTTGATTACAAAATATCAAGTGATGTTTTGAAACCAAATGTGATTTTCTAATGAATACTCATTTTGATTGTATCAGAGCACAGGTTACTTCGATTTACTTTGGATACACCGCATTAAAATCGAAAATTGAGTCAATAGAAACGGAGAATATGTATATAGAACAACTTTGCCAGAGGCGGATTGAGAGACCCTCCTTTTTGAACTACATATATCAAATATGTTTAATGCATATACTTTTTACATGTACAACGTAGCTTAGTCCCCCACTTTTCAAGGTCCTGGATCCGCATCTGTATGCATTGTCTCAAAATATAAAAATTATTTGTGCAAGGCTTAGAAACAGGTAGAATTCGAGGCTTGATCGAGCATTTCCATCCCTTTTCGGGCAGAATACAAATAAAATGTATGCTTTTAGACAATGTATAGTCGTTCCAATTATAATGCATCTATCAAAATTGTTCCTATTTGAATTGGAATATTTGGGGTAAAAATCTACTAATAGAAATTTATAGCGGACGAAATGAGTATTCCACAAATTTGCTTTATACACAATGTCAATGTTAAAACTCTGAAACACATTACCAACCGCACAAACATGACTTTATATGTTGCCTTTAGTTCGCCTTCATTGCCGCCTCCGGCTGTCATTGTTTTGTCTTTGCTTTGCTTTTCCCATTCGTTTTTGTCTGGGTGGGAAAAGTGGGTACCTTATTTGTATAATCTACTTCTCTTACAGATTTCAACCTAGTCCCATGAAACTTCACAGTAAGATTGCATATATGTTGAAGGTGGGTATCTGCTATAACGAAAATTGTTCGAGGATTTTTTCTCTTTTTTTCAGACTCAAGAACTTAGTTATTTTTAAATGTTCAGTATAGAGCATTCTCCAATAACTAAGAAAAACTCCACGCTACCCGGCAATTTTTGTGTTTTGGATCAAATGTATTTTTAATTATGTTTTTACTTTTGTGAAATATTGATTAATTGATTGATTGGTGTTTTACGCCACTTTTAACACTATTGTTCTATTTCGTGGCAGTCAGTTTTTATTGGTGGAGGGAGCGTGAGTGCCCGGATAGAGCCATCGACCTTCGGAAGGAAAACTGAAAATTGTAGGCATTTACATTTGGATTCGAGCGCAGTAGTTCGACTGCTTAGACCACTTGGCAACCGAGACGCCCTTTTGTGAAGCAAGATGAAGTTTGAAATTTTAATTCATAATGTAATAAGGGTTGTGGTAAGCTATTATTTACTCATACGATCATAAGACTTCAAATATCAGTGTGGACAGGTCAACAGGTCGGCAAATCGATAACTAAATGTATTGTCGAATTTACTATGGTTGATAAATTGACAATGCAAAATTTTAAAAGACAGGTTATAATTTTTTTTGTTACTTTTCGTACATAACTGAAATAATTGCTCTTTATTACACTAAACGTAGTTAGTATTATCATTATTCCATAAGGCTCGACAAAAGCTAGTACAATTTCGAGGCCTTCTCGTAAATAAAGGCAATAGTTGTATACCGCTGTTCAATAGTCATAAATCGATTTAAATGAAACAAATCCGGGTCACCAACCAAAACTGAGGGAAACTATAGTTATGTATATTTCTACATATGCATACATCAGTAGTATACATATTTGTATGCAAAACAATATACATACAAGAACAGAGAGAAAAAAAACTTAAAAGAAAGAAGGTATTATAATTTTACAATCGTCTAGTCTGTATTTTATGGTCAGACCGTTTTGTTGTTTGGTCTTTATTTAGAGTTTTTTAAAATAAAGATCGTCCTTGAAAAAAAAAGTTTCGATTGTCATTTCTGATAAAAATTTATAAAGGGCATCTTCAATGTTAAATAGACACAACCTGGTGTCTTAGCAAAATGAACACTCAACAAATTAGCATTTAGATTGTTGCTGCTGTGTCTGAGCTTAGTGTGAAGAACACTGTCTCCAACATTATGAAATTTAAAATGCTTGTGTTGTTACTAGGAAAATAACGTATAATAGCTTCAAGTAAGTTTTAGAGAAAGAATAGAAGAGTGTTCGAATACATTTGCATCCTTATTACTGGAGTTTAATAAAATATAAGTGGCTTCGTAGCTAGGTTATATTGATTATGCAGTGGCAAAAAAAAATCACTTGGCAGTCGCTGATATATGATAGGGTAATATCATATGGTTATGGATATTGTAAAAGTTTTTGACTTAAGAAACGATGTTTGACAAATGATAAAATTTTTTCAGATTATCTTAAAAACTATGATACATACAAACAAGCTGTAAAAGGTCAAACATAGTAAGATATGCATTCTCCACAAAAATGCAAATATGAATGAAAAAAAATTTATCAACTCCTTATATTTAAGACGGTTTTGCACTTTGATTAACATGATTCCTTTTTTTTTTTTAATTGACATGACTAAAATTAGAAAAGCGAAGAGGACCCCCAAATGAACTGTGACGCAAATTACCACATTATCATTTGCACAAAATAGAAGTTTATCATGTACAAATAAAACAAAAAAATATTTTTGTACAACCCAATTATCTGACTGGAACATTTCGTTTTTGTGTCCCCGTTAAGCAACCCAACTAAAAATGTTTACCTACTGTGCCTGGTATGTATGCAATAGTTGGCTAATTGCAGCATGAACATTTGGTGTTTCCACTTCCATCCACTTCATCTTAACTTTGGTGGATAGTTGGCAATAATAACACATCTCCTTATTTTTATATTTGAATTTTCCGTGAAATAGAAGTTCCATCATAATATAAGTTCCAAACGAAAGACATGTTCTGGAATATTAGTCCCCTGGAACAAATATATATGTTACAGTAATTATTCCTAACGGAATAAATAGAAAATTTGTTCCAGCAGGAACAGATATTATGGAATTGCATGTAACAAAGTTTCCGGGTGAACTTCTGTTATTCGGAACACACGGAAGTTGACAAATTACTGTGTATATCCCATGTCAAAACCGAATTAATTTAAAACAATGATTAAATAAATCAGTTTCATTTCCATTTGGATATATTATTTGAATTTTTTTCTTTCTCATTCCTTATGTTAATAAAGGGTAGAAAAAATATTGTTCTTACCTTTAATTATTAGTAATGGATTCCAATGACAGTTATAAAATTGAGCTAAGTTAGCAATTGATAGTATGTAATAAAGAAAGATACTATCAACTGTCAGAGTATCTGTCGAATGACAATTAGTACTAATGATAACCATTTCGTTTATACATGTATGCATGTTAATCAATATTCAATTATGTGATATTTTGCGATTTGACGACAAAATTAATTGCCACATCCTTTGGTGTCAATCTGATAAACATTGTTCTGTAAATGGTCACTACAATCTCCACTTGTGCTATATTACTGGATCTTCTCACCTATTTTTGGTGAGAACTTTCGATTTTGTTCTGGTAATTAATTTTGTTTGCACTGGTGGTTTTGTCAGTAACATCAGACACATATAATACAAGAGATTCGCAACTTAGCGAACTAACGTATATTCTCCTGGCCACTAAGAAATCCTCGCAAGATCTCCTTTGGTTATAAAAAGTATTCAAAGTACTCGAAATAATGATGAATGTCCAAACAACTACCGATATGAAAACAGACTCCTATTTCAGTGTAATAGATACCATAATCAAATTATATATACTGTGTTCGTATCAAATTGAGACTATTATACGAATATATTATGTCTAAGTATCAAATAACTATATTTTAATTCATTTGTTTATAAACCTTTAATCATGGTCGGCTTTGTTTTCTTGATAAATATAATTATTTTGATAGTTGATTAATTTTATGGTTTATTAGGATCGTATAAATAGCGAGGTTTTAATAAATGGGAAAGGGGGAGCTTATATATCTCGTAAAACTTGTTTCCTCAATGAATATATATTTTTTTTACAGACTGGTATAAAAAAAAAATCGTGCAATTAAAAAAAAACAAATCGTGCAATTAAAAAAAAACAAATCGTGCAATTAAAAAAAAACAAAAATTGTCGAACAGAATATAACAGGACAAAAGATGATGAAAAATATTTAATATGAATCCTCATATGTACTAAACTGACATGCTCTCACTACTTAATGTTGCATGGTTAATACAGAATCAGCAAATATACATTTTAAAGTCTTTGACCTGATCAGACTTAGGATTGAACCAATGACCCATGTCCTTGTTGTCAGCATGCTACACTGACACTAGTGTGGTATGAGTGTAAAAGGTTTGAAACTCTGGTGGATAGTTGTATTATTGATAATCATACCATTCTCCTAATTTTATACTGTAGTTTTTGTTTAATGGATGTATACATGATATAAGGATGTACCAAAATTTCCAATGGTGTTGCTTCATGAAATGGGCCAAAACAGCAATAATATATGTTTTATGCTTGCAAACGTTGGGCGTAGGTAAAAATGGTATAACCTTATTTCCCAGGGACACAATTTGTAATCATTTTTCTGTTTATTGTGAAAAGGGTGGGATGGCAGTTTTAAAGCAAGATTGTTATAGGCGTAAACATTTTCTTTTATTATCAGATGTATAAGTGTAACCTGAAAGAGTAACTGAAACAAGTTTAATTTCTTTTATATTCTCCCTCACTACGTTCGTCCGAATATAAAGTAATTATATTCTATGGCTTTAACAAAGAACAAAAGATTAAATGTAGGTGTGCTACTCGCTA